CCATGTTATGATATTTCTGCCTCTGCCTTCTAACAGGGATTATTGATACATACCACCATTCCTGACTCCTTTTTTAGAAAGACTCTTTCTGTGTTGTTCAGGCCAGCCTTGAACTTGTGGTCTTCCTACCTCAGTGTTTAGTTTGCAGAAATTATATGTGCATACCACAGTGTATAGCCTTTCAGATGGACTGAGAAGTGAGCCTGGTCCTCCTCTGAAGTCCCAGCCTACAGAGCACAGTGTTTTAGCAGCACGTAATGCTGCCACAGGGCCCACACCATCTTGATTACTATAACTTTATAGTAAGTTTTGATATGGGTGTGAAACCTCCAATTATGTTTTTCTTTTTCAATACCCTTTTTTGGATGCTCTAAGTCTCTTAAATGTTCATATGAAATTTAGGGTCAGATTGTCAACTTCTCTAAAATTGTCATCTGGGATTCTGATAAGGATTGCAATGAATCTAGGTCAATTTGGGTTTTGTTGTCTTTTTTTTTTTTTGGAGAGGTTTCGCTATAGGGTGCGTGCACTCGCCAGACAGACAGAGAGAGACACAGACAGAAAGTGAGAAATCACCCCTCAGGGGGGATGGCCATGCTACAATCCCTTCTTCTCCATTCTCTTCTTGGGGTCTTGGGCATACATGCACACACGCCTGGCATGAGTTTAAGCCACCAGTTCTGGGACTGGAACCATGGTAGACTACATGGGAGTCCAGTGACATAGCCATTATGCCAACTGCTGGTCCCATGTTTTGTTGTCTTCATAATAAATACTAAGGGTTTTGAAACATGTACATAGGATGTCAGTGTCAGTGTTTTCCAACAGTGTTTTGTGACTTTCAGAATATATGTTTTAAATTTCCTTTTAAATGGCTATCCTTAAGTATTTTATCCTCTCAATACTATTGTAAATATCATATTTCTAATTTTATTATTTGATTATTCATTAGAAAGTGTATAGAATTACAATTAATTTTTACATTTTTTCTAGTAGGTTTCTTAATGGAATCATTAGGATTTTCTCCTATGGGAGCCTGTCATCTGCAAAGAGATATGCAAGGACTTCTAAAGTTCATGGAAAAATGGAATTAGAGAATTAATTTTGATGCAAAAATTTTTGAAGTGCATATTTTTTTTTGGAGAGGTTTCGCTATAGGGTGCGTGCACTCGCCAGACAGACAGAGAGAGACATAGAAACAGAAAGCGAGAAATCACTCCCCAGGGGGGATGGTCACGCTGCAATCCCTTCTCCTCCATTCTCCTCTCAGGATCCTGGACACGCACGCACATGCGCCCGGCGTGAGTTTTAAGCCACCGGGTCCGGGACGCAAACCACGGTCGACTACATGGGAGTCCAGCGACATATCCATTACACTAGCTGCTGGTTCCCAAATGCATATTTTTTATAATATACATCTTCCACAAACTTTTTGAAGATATCTCATATCTTCACCTCTTTCTTTTCAATGTGGATCTGTTTCATTTAAGTTTTTTATTTTTTTAAGAGGTTTTTGCTATAGGGCGTGTGCACTCGCCAGACAGACAGAGAGAGACAGAGAGACAGAAAGCGAGAAATCACCCCCCAGGGGTAATGGCCACACCGCAATCCCTTCTCCTACATTCTCCTCTTGGGATCTTGGGCATGCATGCACATGTGCCTGGCGTGAATTTTAAGCCACCGGGTCGGGGATGCGAACCGCGGTCAACTATGTATGAGTCCAGCCACATAGCCATTACGCTAACTGCTGGCCCCTCATTTAAGTTTTCTGCATAATGAGCCTATTTGACCTTCTAAGATAGAGGTGAGAGTAATTGGCCATTCTTTTTTTCTGATCTTACATAAGGGAAAACATTCAAATTTTCAGCACTGGTATGATAATACCTGTGGGTTTTCCATAAACTTAGTTTTTGAGTGTATTGATCATGAAGTGATGCTAAATTTCATCATTGTTTTTTTGTATACCTTTTGATATAATGGTGTGGGTTTTTGGTCTCTGATTTTATTACTGTGGTATATTACATTAATTATTTTCACATCTTAAACTGACTAGCATTCATGGGGTAAGTCCCAGTTGGTCATAATGTGGAGACTCTTTTAGGCCCGGACACAAGGGTATAGGCAATAGGGCACTGCTACACATTGCTGGAGTCACATGTGAGGCTACATTCAGATCCCAGGTTGACCAGAACGTGCTGGGGATATACATTCATGCCCATAACTCTGGCTGGTGTGGTGAGATCTTATTGAAGGTGCCTATTTCTTTTTCTCTAACTCATGAAATAAGTAAACAAAAACTGAAAAAAAGTTGACCTTTGCATATTTTGCGGGATTCTATTAATTTGTTAGTTGAAGATTTTAAAAATATGTTGAAGATTATTATTCATTTTGTTGAAGGTTTACAAAATATATTCTTAAGGTTTATTTATGACCACAGCTTTATTATAAGCAATCTGGGAAAATGCCTTTGGGGTCCCAGTATTCTCAGTATGCTGCCCTTGGGTTAGAGTGACCACCCTATCTGTGGAGCTTTGGTGGAAGAAGAAATTCCCAGCATAGGGATACACATGCCCGGAATTTAGCCTACGCAAAGTAGAGCTGTGGAGATGAAACATTTTGGTGGCCTGATTTTCTAGTAAGCGATCATATACCTTGACTGTGACCTAGGAATTCAGTCTTCTTGGCCACATCATTCTAAAGTGAGAAATGGAGCTTTCTGAGCTTACTGAGGAATGGGAGGAAGGAATCAGTTATGTCTCAAGTGCCACAGACTCCTGCTGTTCTTAGTGTGATTTAATATTTTAGTGAATAAATGTTTCTTTATTTATTGTATAGCTATAGAACAATTTCTAGAGACTTTATTATTTTTCAAAATTACTTTCAACAGTTATGGGTATTTTATCGGGGACCAGTTCTACAGAGCCTCTCATGCCATCATTCTAGAAAGAAGAGGAGCTGTGGTTTTCCCTTTGCTTTTGATAAGAGTTTACATTAATAATTATGATTTAAGATTTTGCCTTTAAAAGCATGATTTACCTTCAACCAATTACATTTACTTAGTATACATTGTTTGCCTTCCAGTATTGTTTTGTAATTTTTCCATCATTTGACTTACGATGATTTTTGTTCTATGTCACCGAAGGACTATCTGCCAGTCTTGACCCAGCAGCTGTGCTGCTTCTTTGCTAGTGGGTGTTTTGAAAGTAGTTGTATGTGGTGCTGCCACCCCCCACCCCCCACCCTAGGGAACTGAGATATGGTCCCTCATCATAGGCTGAACTGTTCTGTCACAGATTCTTTTAATGTATTATGGCATGTTTTGAGAAGCTCCTGAACTTCTGAAGGCCTAGGGCTTTCCCATTTATGGATGAGTGCTGTTTAGGGAACTTGCCCCTTGGTCTGATTTTCTGTTCTCCACTGTGTCCCTCATTTTGTTTCTTAGTGGACTAAGAACTGTTTATATTGTTTAAAATCAACTAGGGATTAGGGAGTAGATTCACTTGAGAGGGTTTTGAGAGTTGTCTGAAAACCTATTGTCTTGACGGCTGAAATATGTTGTATTCCTGTTTCTTTTTTTTTCTTTTTCTTTCTTTTTTTTTTGGAGAGGTTTTTGCCATAGGGCGCGTGCGCTCTCCAGACAGACAGAGAGAGACAGAGAGATAGAAAGTGAGAAATCACACCCCAGAGGGAATGGCCACGCCGCAATCCCTTCTCCTCCATTCTCCTCTCGGGATCTTGGGCACACACGTACAGGCGCCTGATGTGAGTTTAAGCCACCAGGTCCGGGACTCGTACCACGGTTGACTATGTGGGAGTCCATCGACATAGCCATTATGCTAACTGCTGGTCCCCCCCACCATTTCTTTTTAAAATATTTGAATATTAAAGATAGTTTTATGGTCAAGTCTGTAAAAAAGACTTGGCTGGGATGAACTTTCTTGTTCTCTTAATTGTGATTACAAATGTTGACCTTATCTCCCCTTGCATATTATTGGGTTGTTGGAAAAGTCACGATGCATTTTTGCATAGTAAAACACGTCATGAGGACCAACCGTTGGCGTAATGGTTATGTTGCTGGACTCCCATGTAGGTGACCATGGTTTGAGGCTTAGACCCGGTGGCTTAAACTCATGTTGGGCGCTTGTGCATGCATGCCCAAGATCCCGCCGAGAGAAGAATGGAGGAGAAGGGATTGCAGCATGGCCATCCCACCTGGGGGGTGATTTCTCGCTTTCTGTCTCTCTGTCTCTGTCTTTCTGGTGAGCTCATGCACCCTATTGGAAAAACCTCTCCACACGCACAAAAAAAAATTAGCTGGACCCATGGAGATATGCATTTTTAGGAGTCATAAGTAGAAGTTTTGTCTTTTTAAAAACTTCTTAAATAAAATTCCATTTTTATAATAGGTTCTATTCTGGGATGTTTTTGATTGACTAGAAGTTTAATGGGTCAAACTTTTCTGTGGTATTGTCTTTCTAAAGGTGATAGAGTATACCACATATTTTATCGAAGCCTGAGAATGTCATGTTAATTTCTGAAACGACTTTTTTTTTTTTTTTTTTAAGAGAGGTTTTCACTATAGGGCATGTGCACTTGTCAGAGAGATGGAGAGAGACAGAAAGAAAGAAAATGAGAAATCACTCTCCATGGGGGATGGCCACACTTCTCTTCTCAGGATCTTGGGCACACATGCACACGCATGGCGTGAGTTTTAAGCCACCGGGTCTGGGACGCGAACCATGGTAGACTGACTACATGGGAGTCCAGCGACATAACCATTATGCCAACTGCTGGTCCCAATTTCTGAAACGACTTTTAACTGATATAAACCAACCTGCAAATTAAAACAAGTATTTTAAAAGTTGGCTTACATTTGGTAGCTAGTGCGCATATTTTTCATATTTTTATGATGCTACTTTTTATTTTTCCTATGTTTTGAAATGCTCCACTTTCTGGATTTTTGTTTTGTTTTAATTACACATAAATGCCATTTTTTTTAGACTAAACTTCAGTGGCTTTGTGAAGAACTGAAGGAGAGAGAAAACAGAGAGAAAAATCTGCGACAACAGCTGATGCTCTGCAGACAGCAACTCAAGGATCTAACCGAAAACAAGGAATCTGAGCTCCAGTGTCTCTTTGAACAGATAGAAAGACAGGAGCAGCTTCTGGAAGAAATACATCGGGAGAAACGAGGTATGTTAGTTGCTCCTACTCTTTCTTTTCTGTATTCGTGGAGTGGGGGGAGGGCTTGGGAACAAAAATCCCTAATTCGAATGTATCTAGTTTGGATTCTTTCCAAATCTGTTTTCTTTCGTTGTATCTTATCTCTTTTGTTTCTTCATTTTTGAGACTAACAGAGAAAACTGTTTAACCCTGAGAACTTTTCGAGCAGCCTCAGTGTCCCTCCTGTGTACATAGCACTAGGTCTGTTGGCTGTTTGCAGGTATTCATCTGGTAAGACATGCTGCTTCTCCCTGGTACACTGCCAAACATTACATTCCCTTCAGTAAAATATCCATGAATTCATTCAGCGAGTAGATATCTTGTGCCTGTTTTGTACTGGGCGCTTTTCTGGCTGCAGAGGGCAGGTACATTAGTGAATTCAGTGGAAAGAAGCCCTACCTTATTTAGCTTACCTTTTCCTGCATGACTGCGTGATGTGACGTACATGTAAGCGATGATTTCTCGCTTTCTGTCTCTCTGTCTCTGTCTTTCTGGTGAGCTCATGCACCCTTTTGGAAAAACCTCTCCACACGCACAAAAAAAAATTAGCTGGACCCATGGAGATATGCATTTTTAGGAGTCATAAGTAGAAGTTTTGTCTTTTTAAAAACTTCTTAAATAAAATTCCATTTTTATAATAGGTTCTATTCTGGGATGTTTTTGATTGACTAGAAGTTTAATGGGTCAAACTTTTCTGTGGTATTGTCTTTCTAAAGGTGATAGAGTATACCACATATTTTATCGAAGCCTGAGAATGTCATGTTAATTTCTGAAACGACTTTTTTTTTTTTTTTTAAGAGAGGTTTTCACTATAGGGCGCGTGCGCTTGCCAGACAGAGACAGAGAGACAGAAAGCGAGAAATCACCCCCCAGGGAGGATGGCCACGCTGCAATCCTTTCTCCTCCATTCTCTTCTCAGGATCTTGGGCACACATGCACACGCATGGCGTGAGTTTTAAGCCACCGGGTCTGGGACGCGAACCATGGTAGACTGACTACATGGGAGTCCAGCGACATAACCATTATGCCAACTGCTGGTCCCAATTTCTGAAACGACTTTTAACTGATATAAACCAACCTGCAAATTAAAACAAGTATTTTAAAAGTTGGCTTACATTTGGTAGCTAGTGCGCATATTTTTCATATTTTTATGATGCTACTTTTTATTTTTCCTATGTTTTGAAATGCTCCACTTTCTGGATTTTTGTTTTGTTTTAATTACACATAAATGCCATTTTTTTTAGACTAAACTTCAGTGGCTTTGTGAAGAACTGAAGGAGAGAGAAAACAGAGAGAAAAATCTGCGACAACAGCTGATGCTCTGCAGACAGCAACTCAAGGATCTAACCGAAAACAAGGAATCTGAGCTCCAGTGTCTCTTTGAACAGATAGAAAGACAGGAGCAGCTTCTGGAAGAAATACATCGGGAGAAACGAGGTATGTTAGTTGCTCCTACTCTTTCTTTTCTGTATTCGTGGAGTGGGGGGAGGGCTTGGGAACAAAAATCCCTAATTCGAATGTATCTAGTTTGGATTCTTTCCAAATCTGTTTTCTTTCGTTGTATCTTATCTCTTTTGTTTCTTCATTTTTGAGACTAACAGAGAAAACTGTTTAACCCTGAGAACTTTTCGAGCAGCCTCAGTGTCCCTCCTGTGTACATAGCACTAGGTCTGTTGGCTGTTTGCAGGTATTCATCTGGTAAGACATGCTGCTTCTCCCGGGTACACTGCCAAACATTACATTCCCTTCAGTAAAATATCCATGAATTCATTCAGCGAGTAGATATCTTGTGCCTGTTTTGTACTGGGCGCTTTTCTGGCTGCAGAGGGCAGGTACATTAGTGAATTCAGTGGAAAGAAGCCCTACCTTATTTAGCTTACCTTTTCCTGCATGACTGCGTGATGTGACGTACATGTAAGCGATAGGTAAATGATGTAATATATTAGAAAGTCGTAAGCATAGTGCTAAAAAACAATAAAGGAAGGAGAATAGGAGGCGGGGTTCAGTACGTAGGCAGTACTCATCTTTTACAGTTGGACCAAGAGACTTGGAAAACTACACTTTTCCTTTCTCTTATTCTAAGGTTGTATCATGATGAGAAGAAAAGCAGCCATACGTTTAGGGATCTCTTGTGTGTCATGTGTTGACCTTAGGGCATCATTATATTGGTCAACTTTGTTAACTTAAGAACTGAAAGAGACTTAATATAAAATCCCATTAAGAAAACCTGAGCATTAGCTTATGACAATCCAAAAAAAGTTTAAAATGTATTTTCTGTTTTGCATTTTGGTAGTCAGTATTATTTTTTCTACCTGTGTGACTGTCCTGCAATGATTTTAACTTTTTCTGATATCAAGAGTGTACATTTCTGAAATTTTGGAGAACTCCAGAGTTTTTATTGATGTGCATTATGCATACTGATATTTATTGATTAAAGATTAAAACTGAGAATTTGAAAATATTTATTAATTTCTAATAATGATTATAAATCTATTATGTGTTAACATTAAAATGAATGAAAGTTAGCTATTTTCTGTTTTGGAAATAAAAGAGTGAAATTGTTTTGCATTTTGACAAATTTCATCAATTGTGGGCTTAAAAGAAGATAAAACATATTCTTATTTTGCCTCTATGTTTTATCTGTTGTTACATCCCATATCATGTAACGTCGGGATAAACTATACATTTGAGAGAAGTTGAATGTTTAAAAAAAAGGCAAATAATATCTTTGTATTATTAAGGAATCTTGAATGGTACTCAGACCACACTATAGGTACTGCTGCTTTATTGCAATTGAAAGATGCAGACTGGGACGAGCAGATGGCATGATGGTTACATTGCTGGACTCCTATATGGTTGACTGTGGTTTGAGTCCTGGACCCGGCAGCTTAAAATTCATGCCTTGTGGGACCAGCAGTTAGCGTAATGGCTATGTCGCTAAACTCCCATGTAGCCGGCCGTGGTTTGAGTACCGGGCCCGGTGGCTTAAATTCACACTGGACGCATGTGCATGCATGCCCAAGATCCTGAGAGGAGAATGGAGGAGAAGGGAATGCGGCGTGGCCATCCCCTCTGGGGGGTGATTTCTCACTTTCTATCTCTCTGTCTCTTTCTGATGAACGCATGTACCCTATAGCAAAAAAAAAAAAAAAAAAAAAAAAAAAAAAAAGAAGAAGAACGTACCCCTAAAAAAAAAAAAAAAAAAAAAAAAAAAAAGAAAAAAAAGAAGAAAAAAAAAACTCTCCAAAAAAGAAACCCCCCAAAAACTCATGCCTTGTGCATGTGTATGTGTGCCCCAAATCCTGAGAGGATAATGGGGGACAAGGGATTGTGGTGTGGCCATGTCCCCAGAGAATGATTTCTCATTTTCCATCTCGATGTCTGTCTGTCTCTCTGGTGAGCACATGCATCCTATCGCAAAAATTTCTCAAAAAAAAAAAAAAAGAAAAATGCAAACTGTTCCCTTAGTAAATGTCAGAGCATGGTCTTGTATTTTTATGATAGTACAGTAGCATGTAATTATGGAATTTATAGCTAAAACATTGTATGGTCTGTACAAATGGACTACGCAGTAACACTAGATTACAACTCAGTTTTCTTTTTAGTAATTATTAATATTTCATTGAAAATAATTTCTTCATATAAGCATTAATACAGTAGTTTATGATATAGGACATGAAACCATCAGTGGGGGAAAATCCTAAAGAATTAATTATTGTATCTTTGATAATTATATACATATATATATTTTTTTAAAGAGGGTTTTGCTATAGGGCGCATGCGCTCGCCAGAAAGACAGAGAGAGACAGAGAGACAGAAAGTGAGAAATCCCCCCGCCAGTGGGGGATGGCCACGCTGCAGTCCCTTCTCCTCCTTTCTCCTCTTGGGATCTTGGGCACACACGCACATGTGCCCGGCATGAGTTTAAGCCCCCAGGTCCAGAACTTGAACTGTGATCGACTACATGGGAGTCCATCGACATAGCCATTACGCTAACTGCTGGTCCCATATCTTTGATAATTATATTAAAATAGCTTTTTTTTTTTTTTTTTGAGAGGTTTCTTGCTATAGGGCGCGTGCGCTCACCAGACAGAGAGAAACATAGAGACAGAAAGCGAGAAAGCACCCCCCAGGGGGCATGGTCACGCCGCAATCCCTTCTCCTTCATTCTCCTCTCCAGATCTTGGGCACGCACGCACACGCACCCGGCGTGAGTTTTAAGCCACTGGGTCCGGGACGTGAACCGCGGTTGACTACGTGGGAGTCCAGTGACATAGCCATTACGCTAACTGCTGGTTCCCAAAATAACCATTTTTTCATAAAAGCTTCAAAGAGCTAAGGCTATGAAGTTTCTTATCTTTCAGTGTGATTGTTTTTACTTGCATTTTTTTGAATTGAAAAATATTTTTGCTTTGTTTCTATAAAACATTTAAATCCCATACACATTTTAAAATCAGTTTATCAATTTTTTGGAAGCACCTACTGGTATTTTGATAGGATTGTGTGAAATGTATAGATTAATTAGAAGTGTAGTGGGCATTTTTATGTTGAATCTTCTAGTCCATGGACATGAATTATTAATTTATTTCTCATGAATGTTTTGTAATTTTCGCCAAACAGACATCATATACTTTTTTTTAAAAAAAAGACTTATTTATTGAATTTATTTATTCATTCTTTTCTTTTTCCTTTTCTTTTTTTTTTTTTAAACTTGACCAGAGAGAGACACAGGGAGAAAGCAATAGGGAGGCAGAGAGAGAGGGAAAGTGAGAGAGCAAGCTACCAGATCTGAGACTTGAACCATCATCAGCCATGCAGGAGTTTCCAGTGTCTTAAGCACCATGACACCTGCTGATAATGACATCACATATTTTTGAAAATTGACTAATTTTTTGTGATTTGTGATTCTTTAATAAATGGCATTTTAAGGGACCAGCAGATGGCATAATGATTATATCGGTGAACTCCCAGGTAGTCGACTGTAGTTTTAGTGCCAGACCTGGTGGCTTTAACTCATGACAGGCTTGCGTGTATGTGTGCCCAAGATTCCAAGAGGGGAATGAAGGAGAAGGAATTGCTATGGAAATCACCCTTGGGTGATTTTTTGCTTTCTGTCTTTCTGGTGAGCACACATGCCCTATAGCAAAAATCTTTCTTAAAAAAAAAAAAAGGCATTGTAAAATTTTAAATTTTCCCTCAGTAGTCATTGCTAAGCATATAGAAATTGTATTTACTTTTGCATATGAACATTGTATTTTCAAGATTGCGAAGTCAGTTTATTAGTTCTAGTAGCTTTTGGTTGATTTCTTAGCCCTCGTGTTTCCTCATACATGATCACATCATCTGCAAATGAAGACAGTTCTGCTCCTTTCTGTTTTCTTTTTCCTGAATCAGTTGGGGCCTCTAGGAAATATTAAACTAACCTTGCAGTCCTGGGATAAACTCCACTCTCTCATAATATAATTTTTCATTTACCTATGACTGGATTTGGTTTATTAATAGTTTGTAAACAATGTTTGCTTCTATTTTCATGAAATGTATTGATCAGTCGATTCTGTTTTTATATTGTCTTTATCTGATTTAAATGTTAGTGTGGCAGCGACTTCATAAAATAATTTGAATCTTAATTTTCTTTTTATTTATTAGTTTTTTGAGGCTTTTGAACCAAGTCTGTATTATTTCTTTTCAATGTATGTCGAATTTATCAGTTTTGCCACCTAGACCTGTAGTTTTCATTTTGGAGGGGGGTAAAAAATTTCATACTTAAATTCTTTAACAGATATAGGGCTATGCAGAACTTTTATTTATTCTTTTATTAATATGTTCCTTTCAAGGTATTCATTAATTTTATATAAATTGTTGGATTTATTGGCATAAAATATTTTATACTCTTTTTTTTAAGTTTGTTGTAGGGCGTGTGTTCTTGAGAGAGAGAGAGAGAGAAAGAGAGAGACAGACAGACAGACAAAGCAAGAAATCACTGGCCATGGGGATTGGCCACACCACAATCCCTTCTCCTCCATTCTCTTTTGGAGTTTCGGTACATAGACATACACACACCTGGCTTGTTTTTCAAGCTGCTGGGTCTGGGACTTGAACTATGAATCAAGCATGTGGGATCCAGCTGTCTTAGCCTCTGCACTTCCTGGTAGTCTCTATACTACTCTTTTTTCAATCCTTTTCATTTATATAACTCTGTATTGATGCCTCCTATTGTATTCTTGAGATCAGTAATTAAAAAATTTTTTTTGTTCTTTATAGGTCTTGCTGAGGGTTTTCATTAATATTTAAAAAGTAAACTTGGATTTTTAATTTTCTTCTGTCATTTGTCTTTTTATATTTTGTTGATCCTGCTATTTATGTCATTACTACTTAGTTTGTGTCTCATTTGCTTTTTCTTGGTTATAATGTTGGAATATTTATTTTAGTTTGTTTTT